CGCAGACTGTATCCGTTCTCACATCAAGTTGAGGAAGCATCGACTTCTTCACCATCATACTTAGCTTGGAATAGCTAACATGCCCTAATCGCATGTGCCATAGATCTGCTGTCTCATTTTTCCTTGTCTTGTCTACATATGCAGACTCTGCTGACATCACATAGACCGACTCCAATCGTTGCCCCTCCATTATCGGTTTTTCTAAGATTTTAAGATAACGATATACCTTTACATCTTGAGGACCGAACAAGACATAGTGGCCTGATGATGTCAATTGAGCCACGGATAGCAAATTTTTCTTCATTCCCTGAACATGATAGACATCTTCGAGTGGAACTTGATTGGGATTATATCGAGGTGTAATAATAGCTTTACCAATGTGACTTATTGGTAACCTTGAGTTAGTCAAGCCGTTATCAGTTATCAGCCGTTATCACAACACGATTTCCTTTATACTCAGATAGGTCTTGCAGCTTCTGTTTATCACCCGTCATGTGATTTGAGCAACCTGAGTCTACAATCCAATCATTCTTATAGTCTATTCGTTTTGCTGTTGTTACCGTAAGAGCTAATTCTTCTTTCTCCATAGCAAATGATGCTTCGACATCCCAATCGTCTTCGATATTTTTCTTAGAACTGGAAGTAGCAGCATTACTTTCAGCGGACTTTTTCTTGGACCAACAATCTTTTGCCATATGGCCCATCTTCCCGCAATTGTAACACTCGCCATCAAACTTTCTACTACTGCCGCGATTCTTCGAAGCTCCCCCTGGACGAGAGCCTCCTTTTCCTTGGTGATTTTTCATCTTGTCACCACCCTTTTTAGATCCACCTTTGTTGTATTGTTTTGAGTTTTTGCAACCACCTCTACTTTGGTTGGTGTAGAGCGCTTCCTCTTTCACCCCTTATTCGAGACTCCTCCCATTTGTTTAGCCACTAGCTTCTTGACGGCCAACAAATTTTCAAACTCAACAAGAGATGTTGTGTCGGGCCATCCTTGTACTGCCAGCAACAAAGCCCTCGGTATCGGGTCTCAAAGCCATGGGATAAATTATTCTTTTATTCCTAGCTTCCCCAATGCAGCTGTCGGATCTAATTCTTGAAATTTCGCACATATCGTCTTCACCTTGTGAAGTTATTTGGGCAACCGCTCATATTCACGTTGCGCCATTTGATAGAAGTTCCATTCTCCAAAGTTTTGCAATTTTGTATCGTTCTTCTTTTGAAAAGAGTGTAGGCAAACGTTGTCCCACGCTTCTTCGGTGTATTTTGGCATCCCGAATGTGCTCCAACATTTGCTTCTCTCTAGTTTGTTTTGTCTTTAAAGCAACATTGCTTTGCCTGCTTTTAATTATTTCCACTCCGTATAAAAAAGACGCCGTCTGGCATCTTCTACTGCCGGTTGTGTAACTTCCACTTACCACACGACTTCCCACAAGTCTTGACCTTGTAGGTAGGACTCCATACATGTTGCCCACATGTTGTTAGTTGTTGTAGTTTTGGTTGTTGAGCTTCTTGATTCCTCCACTGACATGAAGATCACCCATCTTTTGCCTTAAGTCAAATAAAATACCAAGAAAATTTCTTTCAGATGTGGAAGATCGGTTTAAGCTGCAACCACAGTGCCTACTTAAAATTATCTGTGTATTTAACTTGAACCTAGGTTCTGATACCAAATGTTGAATAAATTAGAATAATAAAACTCTAATTTATCAAGAAAAAGAAAAACACTCTTAAGAACTATCTAACAAAATTGCAAAGAAGAAGAACACTTAAGAAAGCTTTCAAAACGCTTTTATTTAAGCTTTGATCCTTGGATAATAAAACTCAAATACAAGGGGGGTATTTATAGATTACAAGAATCAATCTATCAATTTCTACACCATTCATTTAATAAAACACAAACTTAACGCTTTTATTTAAGCTTTGATCCTTGGATAATAAAACTCAAATACAAGGGGGGTATTTATAGATTACAAGAATCAATCTACACCATTCATTAAAATAAACACAAACTAATCTAGACCATTGAGATTAAAGAAATACTACCTAATTTTCACCTAACTAAAATGATGTAGGCAATGACATCAAATTAATTTGGTGTCCTAACTTTGACCTAACTTTGAATTTCAACAATTGGGCTAATATTGATCTTTAACATATAATTATATATGATTATATGTGAAAAGTAAGAAATTTTTTGATACTAGTTTATATTGTCTAATACATGGTATGACCTATAGCTTTGTTAAAATATCTATACAATATATTATGTATACGTGGTGTAATCATAAGTATTCAAATCCTTTATTGTATATATAATCATATATAATTATATTGTATACAATATATTATGTATACAGTATATTACTTAAAAAGTTATTGCCAAATATTGTCTTTTACTAAACACTTCTAATTTGAACAACTCTATATCACAACTATTAGCTAAAAGCTAATAGTTTTAGCTAACAGTTAATATAACAGCTAATAATTACTCTCTCTGTCCTAAAATATAAGTCGTTTAAGGTTTTTACACAAGTATTAAGAAAATAATTAATTCTCCTATATTATAACAAAACTAAAGGTAATTTGACCAAATTACCTATTATGTCAAAACCAAAAATAGCTTATGGATGTATTTATTGCATCTCATGTAAATATGGGTAATATTGAAAAACCATCATTTAATAAAATACTCAAATGACTTATATTTTGAAACGAATCAAATACTAAAATAGTTAATACCGCGAATTACACACTCCACGAAGAAGGAAGACAAGTCAATTTCTTAATATTAAGGAGACGTGTTCACATTTTATACACAACGAAGAGATGGACTTGAATTCAATTAGCCCCACATTTCAAAGGAAGACGATGGTACATACAGCTAGCTGCTCACTCTCACTCATGGTAGTAATGAAATCAGAAAAGTTGAAAACTCATGAATAGATATTTTTCTTTGTTTATTTAATTATTATGTCCAATTTTGATTTATAGGATCGAGAATAAACTCAATTATCAATTAGAAGTATAATTTAATTTCGTATATTCCATTTTTAAACCGAAATTATTATTTGAAGATACAATTCAAAATGGATGTATTTTCTTGAAACTTCGTACATTTAAATAAATTTCATTTTCCAAAATTTTAATTTTAATTTTAATTTTAATTTTAAAATAAAACTGACAATCCTAATACGTGTAAAACTCCTACGGTATGATTTCTTTTCCTTTCTAATACTTTAGTTTTATTTCCGTGAGGGGTAATAGATCAAAACATCAGTTTCATGAAGGTTTTTGTGTTCAGGATTGATTATAGGCTGTGTCGTTTTAATAGCTGGGGTCAAGCTTGTATATGTCACTATTGGCACATTTATTTTTCTCTCACCATCTTAGATGACGCCAAAAGAGCTGTCTGTTTATCTATCTATTTAATTATCTGTCAGCACTTTTCAAATAAAGCTAATTTTAAATTTTAGGACCAAAACAATTAAAGCTTTTATTTATTTATTTTAAATTTGTAACTTAGAATAGTTAAGAAATAAAGTAGTTGAATAAATTCATTACTCACTTTGCTAGCATGATTTGCTTTGTAATTTCCATTATTGACTTAGTTTTAATTTTTTTTTTCCATCAATATCAAATTTCATTGTAGTCTTTTTAGTTGGAGAAAGAGTTGATTTTTGAAATTTAAATTAGTAACTTTTTTAATATAATTTGTTTATTGTTATATGTTAAGTTCTGAAAAGAGGTTTTTTTTTTATTTATTATTATTTATTATTTTTTTCGTCACTGAATTAATTTGTAGCTACGATTATTTTAATTTAATAAGAGATTTATATCTCACTTGCAATAAATAAATGACTACTTGATGATTAAATATTTTTAATGTATTTTTTTGCTTATATTTTGAATATTTTTTATCTGAAAGAAAATAGTGTTTATAAAATTAGAAAAAACTAGAACTATATATTTCTGTTTTGGATCACTTTTTAAGATTTGAAGAATTTATTTGTACGTGCATATATATTTTTCTCTAATGTCCTAGGTAAGTAGTACTGCCACTATAGTCAAAATGATTACCATTATCAATTTAGATCATCTTCAAATTTTTTTTTTTTTTTTTGTTCCTAGAGTAAAGTAAGCTAACTGCCCACTATATGTCAAAATGATTACCATTATCAATTTAGATAGATCATCTTCAAATTTTTTTTTTTTTTTGTATTACCTAGTAGCAAAAAATAATTAATTATTATTTTTCACTATCGTTGTATGTAGATATTAATTTTGGATTGAGGGCAGAGTGTTAGAGATTGAGTGATGATTTGATTTTCTTTTTGAGAACCTATTAGGATTTTAAGAATTTACATTTATAAATTAGGGATTAAAGGATTATGTGTAAGGATTATATTGAACTTTATTTTGATACTATTTTATTATATAAAAATAGAATTAAGTACATAAAAAGTAATATTATAAGTAACTTGTACAGCAAAGTCCAATAAAAAATTAAACAATTATATTTATTTTAATCTAAATTTTAATAAACAAAAATTTATACTTTAATATTATATAGAAAAAAAATTAAAAGAGTATAAAAAATAAGTTATAGAACGAGTTTATGGTTAAGTGTATTTATTTTAATCTAAACAAAAATTTATACTTTAATATTATATAGATAAAAAAAATTAAAAGAGTATAAAAAATAAGTATAGAACGAGTATGTTAAGTGCAACACACCTCATAAAAAAGACTATAGTTTAATTAAAAATGAAAAAATAACCTAATTCTAAGTTATAAGAAATCAATTTTTATTATTTTTAGTTTTTAATGCAGGTTTGAATTTTCCTATTATGTATTTCAATTTTATTTTTTAATTTCTGAATTTCTCTTTTAAAATAAAATAGATTTTTATTTTTTTGAACAAAAATTGAATTTAATTTATCCAAAAAACAAAAATAGTGTAACACTAACTCAGTTATACTGAAACGCAAAAGTAGTTACCAAAATCAACAAGAAAGGAACTTTAACTTCTAATAACATAATTGTACATACAAATTTAACTTTATACCAGGAAAGTTAAAAATATTGAGATCCCATAACTTCCATATCCATCTCAATCCTATCAAAGATTAATTCTTGTTCATTATTGAAGAAAAGATTCCAGTTTTCCTCGTCAAAAGAAAAGTTACTCCACCAATCATTTTCCTTACTACTGCTTTCCCCTTCCGAGAATGTGGAGGCACTTTCTCCTGCAAAAGGGTTTGTGGTGTTTGATTGATTTTCTATTTTATTATCAAACGGTGGAAATGCAACAGGCGTAGGAGCCTTGTCATAGCCATTGTCATTTTGACGGTGATCTTTATCTTTTGCAGTTGCAGTAAATAAAGATATATTTTTTGAGAGTTTACGGGGTCGAGGCTTTATTATTTTTACTGTTTTGCCTTTCTCATTATCTTCCTCACGATAAGGACTACTAGGCTTCAGTTTCTTGCGCATATGAGTGTTCCAGAAATTCTTTACATCATTTGCTGTTCTTCCTGGCAGTCTGCCAGCTATTAGTGTCCATCTGAATCAATAAAACGTGAATTGGTCAGATTTAATTCATTACTGCACTACAATAAATTACTTCTTTCAACAGAATAATCTAAAAGCTATCAAAGGACAAAAATTTAATTAGTAGCAATACTATTCTATCTACCATAAGATAATCTCGAATTAACAGTCATTATCGACACTATATAGACAAGTATCGAAATTGAGTGACCTGTTTCCCAGTAGGTTGTGAAGCTTGATCATTAGGTCAATCTCATCTAATGTGAATTTTCCTCTTTTAATGTCTGGTTTAAGATAGTTTAACCACCTTAATCTACAACTTTTTCTGCATCTATTCAACCCTGCAATATTTTACATATTATATAAACATAGCTTCCATTTAAATGCTTACAACTTAGTTATTTATTCTTAATTATTTGCAGGCATACATTAATGTTTTTCAAAAATAAAAAGTATATATAGATATAAAGAGAGAACCAGCTCTTGAAGGGACTGTATGCCATTTTCCTTCTCCATGTCTTTGAATGCAGCTTCTGAGAAGGCCGTCTTCAGCAGGAGTCCAAGCACCTTTTCTAACTACTCCGACTGGTATAGGGCGCTCCATGGGCATACAATATATATCCTGCCCTAAAAGGCCAATACAACCACTATATAAATAAGCTATATATAACCACTATATATATATGTAAAAGCTATTGTCTCGATGGGTTATGTCAGCAACCAACATCCAACGTTCCAAATTATTAAGTCTGTTTTTAGGTGGAACAAAGGCATCCCCTTGCTTAGAGTTACCAATGACTCCTGACTCTCATATGATTAGACAACAGTATGATTGCGTACAGTTTTAATTTGTTTTATCGTAGGAGTAGCGATTGGGGGGCACAAATTGTGCCACATAAGTGTGGCAGAAAAGTTTCTTTTGTCAATGCAAAGTCCTAAATACCCTTGTTATTTTTTAGAGGTGAATATGTAGGAAATGTTTCTCTCTCCTTCCATGTATTCCCCTTTCTTTACCCTTCAAGCTGCATGAAATGTCATTAGACGAAAAATCAAATCCACGATTGTCACTCAATAGCCTATCTACCAAAATAATGAGAATATAATTTTTTTTATTAAAATGAGAGCATTTATAATTAAACACTGAGAAAAAAATAGTAACAAATTTTAAAAATCTTCATTTCTATTAATTTAGTTCATAAATGGAGCAATAAATTCAAATTAGATAAATATTTTTATTTATTTTATTCTGGCCAACTTTTCATTTTTTGCATAATTTGTTTCTTATGCAAATTATTTAAAATTTAAGAGGCAGTTACCATCGGATTAAAAAGTTTATTAATCACAACCATTGTATCAATACCCTAATCTTAAAGCCATTTCTGAATCTTTTTTTTTCGATAATAGAAAACCTCACGCCACCATCCTCTTCTTCATCTCTTTTTGACTCTTCTCCCTGAAACTCTAATCATTATCTCATTTCTTGAACAAGCGTAGGCTCAAAGGTTTTAATATTCGAATAGAGTGCTAATTCTGACCTATAACGAGCTCTCTAACTTGTTTATGGCCACATCCACCCCAGGTGTTGAATGTTTTATCTCATTAAAATTCTTTACTATTTTGTTTCTATTCAGATATGAATTTGGTGGATTTTGAATCACACATTTTATTTTATTTTCTCTCCCCAATTCATTTGATATTTAATTGTAAGGTATTAATTAATATAGTATTTTGATCATTTCCTTTTTTTATTTGCCTTGTGTGTTTTGTTTGTATCAAGCTAAGCAAGAGAAGAATATGCTACAAGCTATAAATAGTCATTACTTAGCTTAGCTTTGTACGTAAATAGTAAGTGAAAGCTATTTATCTTATTCAAATGAACATACATCGACTAATGTTTATATGTATGATTCTCAATTGATGAAGTAAGATTCACTTTTCCAATTATTACATATTTGATAATTGTGGAATTTTGAAAGAAAAATGGAAATGCACAAGATGATTAATAATGTTTTGCATTTCATTAAATTAATAAAAGAATGTGCTTATTTATAGGCTTACAAGTGAATCAAATAAGACCTAGAAATACTCATAAAAATCATTAATCTTAATAATAAAAATATCAAATTCTATGCAGAAAATGTACACTAAATAAAATTAAAATCTCAAAATATTTTTAATAATATTATTTTGAATTAATCCTAACATTCTCTCTTAATTCAAACATAATATTTTTGTTTTTAATATATTATTTTATTATTTTGAATTAATCCTAACATTCTCTCTTAATTCAAACATAATATTTTTTATTACAATAATTAACAATTAAAAATTTTTAATCTAGCGTTTGAAAAACTTCTCTTCAATTAATTTTGTTGAAGCACATCTCTCCAACTCATCATTTTGATGCACTTCTCACCAAATATTGATGCACTTCTCATCAAACTACCAAATGAATTTTAATTGTTCTTTTTTTTTTTGAAGCACTTCTCTTCAAATATTGATACACTTCTCATCACTTTCTTTATTTTGAAGCACATCTCTCCAATATTGTTCTCTTGGAGCACATCTCTTCAATACTCAAAAAAAAGTTTCTTCCTCTGATACCAAAGTACGACCCAGAACGAAAACTTCTCTCATGCAAGTTTGGATCCAAGGCTTTGATACCATGTTGAGATTTTAGAAGGAAAAATGGAAATGTACAAGATGATTAATAATGTTTTGCACTTCATTAAATTAACAAAAGAATGTGCCTATTTATAGGCTTACAAGGGCTTACAAGTGAATCAAATTAGTACCTAAAATTACTTCCTATAAAATCATTAATTCTAATAACAAAAATATACCCTATTTATAGGCTTACAAGTGAATCAAATTAGACCTAAAAATACTCCTAAAAATCATTAATCCTAATAACAAAAATATCAAATTTTATGCAGAGAATCTGCACTAAATAAAATTGAAATCTCAAAATATTTTTAATAATATTATTTTGAATTAATCCTAACAATAGGCGTTCCACGTGCACCCAATTAAGTGATCAGTTATATTGTTACTACAATCAATAAGAAAGTAACTTTAACTTCTAAAAACCTAATTGTACTTACAAATTTAACTCTATATATACAAGCTACACCAAGAAAGTTAAAGATCTTGACATCCCATAATTCCCATATCATCTCAATCTCGTCAAAGATTAATTCTTGTTCTTCACTGAAGAAAAGATTCAAGATTTCCTCATCAAAAGAAAAGTTAGTCCACCAATCATTTTCCTTGCGACTGCTCTCCCCTTCAAAGAATGTAGGGGCACTTCCTCCTGCAAAAGGGTTTGTGGTGTTTGATTGATTATTTATTTTATTATCATCTTTATTATCTAATGGTGGAAATGCAACAGGCACATAAGTCTTCCCATTGTCAAGATTATTACTACCATTTGCAGTAAATAAAGATGTATTTTTTGAGAGTTTACGGGGTCGAAGCTTCATTATTTTTACTGTTTTGCCTTTCATATCATCTTCCTCACAACAAGGATTACTAGGCTTCAGCTTCTTACGCATGTGGGTGGTCCACAAATTCTTTACCATCATTTGTTGTTCGTCCTGGTAGTCTGGCAGCTATTAGTGACCATCTGCTTCAATAAAACGTGAATTGGTCAGATTTAATTCATAAGTGCGCCACAATGACGAATACTTTAGTTTTGTTTTCCATAAAAGGGACTATTTGATGAAAGTTTTTGTGTTCCGGAATGGATTATAGACTGTCATTTTAATGGCTGGGCAACAGGTGCGGAGCTACACTATGCCCGGTGTCGGCATGCACCCACCGTCAAATTAAAAAAAAAAAAAAACTTTTATTAATTGCGATTTTAATGGCTTGGGGACAAGCATGTAGCTTTATTTTTGTCTTACCATCTTAGATCCCAAAACAGCTATTTGATCCCAAAACAGTTACCTGTCTATTTAATTAGTACTTCCATTACATAATATTTATTATATTTAAGAAAATATTTTATTCTAAAATACTTATAATATTTGTGGTTTTAAGGAATAATAAATATTTTTTTTCATGTTTACCCTTTATATATGACTAATAATTATTACTTCAATTTAATAATTTTCTTACATAATTAGTATTAAATTAAGGGTAATATAGATAATTTACTCAATAATTTATTGTAATTAAGACAAATTTAATGATTTTATTAGGAGACATAAATTTCCAAATAAAGCTAATTTTAAATTTAGGACCAAATTAAATAATGCTTTTATTTTTGGGTCAATTAAATTCATATTTTTCCATGTTTGCAAAAGATAAAAAAATTTAAAAATAATAAAAAATGGAATGAGTTGTTAGATTAATATGAATAGAAGAATAAATTTTTTATATTTTAATATTATAATTATTCAAAATCAATTTAGTTTGACCCGTTAATGGAAAAGTCAAGATTATCTGATGAGCTGATTCATGGCAATCATAGTCAAGAAGAAATCAACTGAAAAATTCAGATCATTTTCTTGAGAGAGAATCGAAAAATACAGGTACAAAGAGAGATGATTTCTCATACAGATCTCTATTGCTCTTAAAAGGTTTACAAGAGAGATTGATTTCTCATACGATCTTCTATTGCTCTTAAAACTTAAGAAAAATAACCGTCAATGCCAGCTGGCAACTTATTTGAAAAAATATCAATTACGAGCACAAGATCAAATAGTTATTCATATTTAGTATTACTTTCAGCCCCCCCCCCCCTTCAAGATGGAGTTGGTGGGAATCAACCATTAAACCCAATCTTTGGAAAGAGATCGAACTGAAGAACATAGAAGCCTGGAGATTCTTTTGTAAATACACATCTGTCTATCTGGCTGTTTCTTGACGGAAATGAGCAGTGGTTTAAATGAAACATTTTGAAGCTTTGATTACGAACCACATGAATCAATGTCCAAATATGTTTTTCGTTCTTTCATTTGGAACACGGGATTTTGCTTGTTATGGAACACGGGATTTGCTGCTATGTGTAAAGCAGCCTGGTTGTCACAAAATAATGGAATGGGAAGATACAAAGATAACTGGAGATCTTGAAGCACATAAGAAATCCACTTCAACTCACACACAGTAACAGCCATGGCACGGTACTCAGCCTCTACAATAGATCTACTAACAGTGTTTTGTTTTTTTGTTTTCCATGAAATTAAGGAATTCCCCAAGTAAATGGAATATCCAGTAAGGGACTTTCTAGTGGTGAGGCAAGAGGCCCAATCAGCATCACAGAAAGCTTGTAGTTGAAAAGAATTGGTGGCAGGAAAAAACAATCCTTTTGTTGGATAAGTTTTCAAGTACTTCAACACATGAATAGCAGCTTTTAAGTGTGTTGTAGTAGGGGCTTGCATGAATTGACTCAGTTGCTGAACTGAGTAAGTTACATCTGGTCTTGTTAAATTGAGGTAGAGCAAGCGGCCCACTAAACTTCGATATTGTTAGTTTAGCTCAAGGGTCCCACTACAACATTCGATTACTTGTTTCAGGATCCTTCAATATATTCACCGTCATCTGGTTTTTAAGTTTTTTAGACCCTGGATATTTAAGAGAGATATGATCTGCTCTAGTGCTCTTGATATACTAACTGCTCTGTACCAAATTCCATCTATATATTATTCTTTTGTGTAACACATAGGCCCGTTTCTGTATCTAGCTATCTCCAAACCTAAGAAAAAACTTTAGCATAAGCCTAGATCCTTTGATAGTA